GTTAATTACGAGTTGATGTAAGTACGATTCGCCGAGAAGCTAGCTAGCTTTGCCCTTGGCCACACACGCTAGGTTTTCCACAGTTGAAGTTAGGTAATGTTTTCGTAAAAACTCTAATGTCCGATGAGAGTCCACTGAAGTTAAACGATTTGTAACATTCGAAATTTATTAATATTCCTGGTCAAGTATCTTAAGTTTTCCGATTGATAAGCGTTATAAAAATCACAGTTATAGTTCGAGGTTTATAGCACAATGATTATAGCGAACTAATAGTAGATACTCTCTTCAGTGCATGGCGTTGGTTATATTTATAGCCATGGGAACGATTTCTAGCAAATTCAGTCTTACGTAACACTACTGAACTACATTTAGACGTTTATGTATATGCATATATTGTTGATTCTTACTCTCGAGAATCTTCTACAACTTTGGGGAATAGGCGGGAGTTTCACAATACATATTTATCACTACAAGCTGTGCATGTTTTTAAATATAACTTAATCTAATCAAAATCGATATTAAAATAAATATATAATAACAAATTCGCTGCAAGATACAATACTGGAACATTACACAGTCATCTGTTATGGGAATGGTTAATTTTTTACATTATTTCTGAATTATAAAGGCTTGCTCATTTGATAGTTGAACACTAATCTCAAACAGCTAACTATCTAAGTCAGGCTGTTACTAGAAATAAAACCTTTGAACTCTTTCTAAATAAGGAAGTCACTGTCAAGATTATTCAAATATCACAGAGTTGAAGCTGAAACTTTTGAATGGTCAAAATATATATGTCACATGAAAGCATTGCAAAAATAAATCAAATGCACTTTTTTGAGAACCATATTAATATAATTCAGTGTGCAATAACTCCCTATAAAGACCACACCGACTGTAGAATTACCAAAATTTGTATATTTTGCATAGAAAAAACTGAAAACAATTTCAAAACCTATGGATAAATTTTGCCTTTACTAATCATCTTCATATAAGCGGAAAGATGAACATCAGGATGGAAAAAGAGAAACATGTATATGAATTTACAAAGTTTTTTTATTCACTTCAAAATCTCACAATACTTATAACACTTGATTTTCAATTCTAATAAAAGCCACCAGGTTTGTCAGCAGCTTTACTTAAAATCTCTAGATACATACCCTGTAGCTAAATAATAAAATATTGAAAACTTTGCTACCACACCACGGTGGCTTCTTGTATGTTGGACATGAGTATTCTCACTCAGGTTGTGATCGGTGTCAACCTGCTGCCACCTACCGGTAATACCAGCTGCAGGTTATCAATCTTCTTACCATAAATACACAGTCAATGCCATTGAAATATTGTGGTTTATATAACCTCAAATTACTGTCTTCATATGAGCAGTTGTTGTATATAAGGTGAAATTGCACTACAGGATAAAGAACCTAAAAGAACAAAACCAAATTTACTGTTATGGAGTATATATAGCTGCAAGTCTGAAGTATGACTTAAACTAACCTAACAAATATTAACCCATCGAATCTGATTGTGGGAGCTTGACTGCAATGACAAAACTTTGGAGGAGTGTACGTTACTTAATTTAGCATTTTCTGAACTTTCATCATCGCTGCCTTCCATCTTCTCTGAAATTTTTTGATTATCATTTGTTTTACAGTTTCTTCCTAGCATTCGAGATAATTCAAATCGGTTTCAAACCACGGGTGAAAAGCAGTTGAGAGAACATGATCCTCATTGACAAAGGCAGCTTCAAAGCGTTTCTTAATTCCTCAAATCAAAATATTGACAAGTGGCTTGCAAGTCTGGAGTGGTTTACTACAAAGATTTTTCAGTTTTGTCAAACATGAGGTAAGTGTTGGCAGAAATAATCCCATATAAACTATAGTTTCACTTTGAAGTAAATTCAGCGCATGTGCTACAGGTCACATGACGATGACGCATTCTTTGGCGAAGCTTATATCCGAAGGGTTGAAATGAGCATGTCCAGCTAATCACACACTTTATTGACTGAACCCTCTTTCTTCGTTATTATGCTCTCCATACCAACGAATGTATTGTATATCGAATTCCACCACCCATGGAACAACAAAACATTCATCCAGTTTTTGTTGCATCCGGGCCTTCATAAATGCTGGTCGGGACACTTTCTTGAACTTACCATTGCTCAAAGCCTTTTCTACATTACTGGTTGCTACTAACTTGAGTGTATGTACTGTACATTGAAGATACTCGGGGAAAAACAAAATTGGACTCTGGCTCAC